ACTCCACCATATCAAAGTGGTATAATAAATTTTACTAATCCGGATAAATTAAACAAACAAACATTAAAGGATAACAAACTCAATACCAATAACTACGAGTCTTAAAACTATCGAAATAAAACTTAGTACTCATATTTACCAACCAAAAACCCAAACTAATCATTGATAAAAACATAGAAAAAAGAACTAAAAGAATTAAAAAAGAAGAATAATTAAAAACAGAAACCAAAGAAAAAAACTTAATAAAAAAAGTAATACTAAAAGGAACATTTAAAAAAACCAAAACAGTCTCTCAATTATAATGATCAAAAGACTTTGAACTAGAAAAATCTAATAAAAAAAAGAAAAAAACATAAACAACACTAAACAACAAACCAGAAAACAAACTAAAAGCTATAATCAACATCAACCAATTAAAAGACTCAGTAGAAGACAAAACCATTATATTCTTATAAGACTTAATAAAAAACAACTGAAAATAACAAAACAAAATACCAAAAACCAAAACATAAATAAAAATAGAGCTCAACAAATACTGAACAACAGGAATAAAAGGCAACTTCTGAAGAGTCAAAAACCACATAACACCAAAACCAGAAATATTATTGGTAACCCTAAAAACCCAAAAATGAAAAGGAGCAACACCAGCCTTTATCAACAAAATAACAAACTGAATACTCCTAAAACTAATCAACAAAAAACAAAAACCCAAAACCTCCTGAACAATAAAATAATTAATTATACTAGTACGACTACCCTGATTAATAAAAATAAACCCTAAAGTCATTAACAAAAAAACAACCCACCAAACAACAACATTAGAAGTAAACAAATTAACTAAAAACAAAATAAAAAAATAAAAACCCATTAAATAAATAAAAACAAGTGGACGAGTTATTAGCTCTAAACAAGTTTAGAAGACCTGCCCATATATCCACCAGTTGGAGATAAATCTTCTGCGCTTAAAACAAATGCATTATATTATGCTACACCAACAAAACATACGAAGAGCACCCTTAAAATTAAGAATCAAACTAATTATATTTATAAAAATAATCAAAACACTAACAATAAAAACAAATCAAGTAAAATACACATTATAATACAAACTACTTAACATCATAATACTAAAATCATAATTCATATAACAAGTAATACAACAAAGAACAAAAACAAAAACAACCTTACCAAAACCAGGACTAACATACAAATAATTACAAAGACTAGAAAAGTAAACCATAATAACAAAAATCCCACTTAAAAACAACATACAAACAAAATAAGAATACCAAGTATGCATAGAAAAACTAAGAACAGGAAGCATAGAAATCATACTCAAAACTAATAAAAGAGAAGACTTCAAAGGATCAACATTCAAATAACTTATCCCACAAACAAAAACACTAATAACCAACCAATATCACATATGATGAACAAGACTCTTATCCCCTCGATCTGCAATCGAACATACTAAATATACTAAGAATCTTATAAACATATAATCGCATATATTGGGCCCTCCCAACGTTCTTCACTCCTGTCCCCCGTGACTCCACTTCTCACCGCACCCTGCTCATCGTTCATCGCTGTCGCTTCGACTTAGCTCCGCTTATCGCGAATCTCTCTTCACTGACGGGGGGTGCTTGAGCTGGTCGGGCCCAATAACAAACAAACCAAAGATATTATTTATCTTTTCTCCTAATAAATATATTCATAATATATTTAAACAACAGAACTAATTTTTTCTCAAAATTTTTTAAAAATTTTAAAAAGAATATGAAATCAAATTAAAAACACAAAAAATCGCAAAAAAAAAGAAAAATTTTTCTACTCATTTAACAAAGAATAAACAAAACAATTAAACCAAAAAATAAAGAAACTGAAATACAATAAAACAACACATATAAAAGGTTTATATTACTGATAAAAACCTAAAAAAACAACATTACATAAAAAAACAATAAAATTAAAGAAATAGGTAATATAGTAAATCAAAAAAAACCTATCATCATATCATAACGATAACGAGGAAAAGCTGCACGAATAAAAATAACAACCCTAAAAAACAAATATCTAAAAAAAAGATAACCACCACAAAATAAAACAGAACACAATACACTAAAAAAAATTAAACTACCATACTCACTTAAAAACAATAAAACAAATGCCACTCTTCCCATACTCAACATTATAACCTCTTACCAATTCTCTTTCTCCTTCAGCAAAATCAAAAGGAGCACGATTTAATTCAGCCACAATCATAACAAAAACTGGTAAATAAAAGAATAACTAAACTTAAACTAAAATAGCTAGTAAAAGCAAAAGTCTGCAAATGAACAATAATACAAAGCATAAACAAAGCAAAAGCAATCTCAAAAGAAATAGACTGACTACTAGCACGAATAGCACCAAGCATAGAATACTTCGATTTAGAAACAATACCACTTATAAGACCCCCATAAACAGAAAAACCAATTAAACACAAAAAAAACAAAACAGAATACTCAAAAGAAATAAACTCATATAAATAAGGAAGAGTCAACCACTCAAGATACATAACTCCAAAAGACATACCAGGAACCAACAAAAACAAAACAGGAGAAGCATTAACAGGAATAACCTGCTCTTTCTTTAACAACTTAACCACCATCCATTAACAGCCTGTAAAGTACCTATAAAAGTTAACTTTTAGTAGGACCTAATACGATTTCTGACTACCACCCAACAAATGACGCTCATACAAAGTAACAAAAGCAATAGCCTGTATAATAAAAAACATCATCAACAATAAACAAACTAACATAAATAAAACACAGGATAAAAAATTTATAAAAATAATTCCAAAAAGGATAAACCCTGAATTATAGATTTTCCTAAAAATAAGACTCATTCACTCCCGCTCATTTCGTGGTTTGTTTGTTATTGGGCCAAATACGAATAAAAGTGAAAAAGCCAAAGAGACACAGTGAGAGGTACTAAAGACCACCTACAGGGTATGAGCCCATTAGACTTATTTATCCTATCTCACTTAATAAGCTCATCAGTATACAAACACAAATAAGAATAATCAAACTACATCTACAAAGTGTCAGTATAAGATAGCAAACTCATAAGACAAATGATGATTAAAATTAACTTGATAAGATAAAATACGATATAAATTAAATAACAAGTAACAAGTACCTAAAAAAACATGTAAACCATGAAAACCAGTAGCTACATAAAATACTCTACCTACAATTCCATCAGCAATAGAGAAAGAAGCTCTTTTATACTCAAATAATTGAATAGCAGTAAATAAAAT